AGTGGTGCCACTGTCTGCCTTGCAAGTGCAAGGTCCTGAGTTCAATCCCCAGTACCAAAACTTTTTTTAAAAATTTAAAAATTAAATACTCAGTTATAATTACATTACAGATGTCTTATAACTTAAAACAAAAAATTCAAAGTCAACACTTACATCATCATTTTTTAGATACTGAAGCAATTAAATGCTTAAAAATATAGTAAAACACAAGGTCAAATGGGAAAGAATAAAAAGAAAAAGTGAATAAATGTTATAACTTATTTCTCCTCAGAATGTCAAACTTTCAACATATTTTGGTGACTACCTGAAGAACTAATACAGTCATGTGCCAGCAGCATATAACATTTCAGTCAATGGCAAACTATACAATGTAAGATTATGATAGAGCTTAAAAAAAAAAAAAAGCAGCATTGTGCCAGGTATGGTGGTATATATCTGTAATCCCAGCACTCTGGGAGGCTGAGGCAAGAGGATTGCAAGGTCTATCTTATCCTGTTCAACTCAGTAAAACCCTGTCTTAAAAAAATTTATAAAGGGCTGAGAATGTAGCTCAATGGAAAGGCCCTGGGTTCACTCCCCAGTACCTCCCCCAATAAGAACAACAAAAACCCTCCAATTGCCTGGTGATGTCATAACCTATAAGTACACTGCATTAGGGATTTGTTGTGATGCTTGTGAAAACAAACTTACTGCACTGCCAATCATGTAAGAGTAGAGTATGTTCAATTCCATATAACACACAATATTGGATAAGGATAACAAGTGGCTATGTTACTGGTTATGCATTTATGATATCATAGTTTTTATGACTGTTTTAGAATGCACTGCTTCCACTTAAAAGGTTTCCATAAACAGTATGCCATGTGACACTGACAGTAGCCTCATTTGTCTCATGTTTACTGTATCTCTTGATTGCACTATTTTCTCTTATGCTTAATTTAATCTTGTGTTGATTTGTTCACTATGGCTCTGGAAGAAATGGGCTACATTATATAAACACACCTATACATATATGATATAAGCTTAGGTATCTAGTAAGCAACACTATCTAAGTTTGTGTAAGGGCATTGTATGATGCTTTCATGATGAAAACTTAAGGACATACTTATGTCTCAACATATTCCCATTAGGCAACACACTGCTGACTGCAGGCCACATGTCTGTGGGTGTATGTTACACTATATATATAATACAATGTTATGTGTATATATATTATATATCATTATGTTACATAATATGCAAATATATAGTGTGTATACCAAATTTCTGGTGTTTTATGGTACAATTCCAGGTAAACTTGCAAATCATTGTAAGGTCATGTTTCTAAAACAAATATAATAAAAGTTATATTTTAAATACTAGGAAGTAATATCTATTACTACTAGTAGCTATTTACTGTGTGCATATGAGGTGCCAGTCTCCCATAATTTGCTCATCTGATCTCAGTAGACCTAGAGAGAAAGGTATAGTAGTCTTCACTTGTCCACAAAGGATACATTTCAAGACCACAAGAGAATGTTATCTTGTTTTTTTGGTACTGGGGATCGAACTCGGGTCCTTATGCTTACAAGGCAAGCAACAGAACCACTGAGCTAAGTCCTCAGCCCTGAGAATGTTATCTTATCACACAGTGTGGCTGTAATTCTTGCAGTTTGAAGTGTCAGGGCAAAACTAACACAAATTTCTTTTTTCTTTCTTCATAATTTAATAGATAGAAGATTAATTCATACCATAGATGTTAGGTGTCAGCACGTGATTTTTTTCTTTCCTTATTTAGAACTTTCATATTTTCACTTAGAGGAAGCAATATGTGGATTCTGTTTGGCTTGGCCAAACTGCCAACATTACTACTCATGCACTTTGGGGTCACCATTAAGTAAAGTAAGGGTTACTTAATTCAAGAACTGGGAAAGTCAACCTGATATCCAAATCAGCTACTAAATGAATAATGGAATGGGTAGCATATACAACATGGATATACTTGACACAGGGATGACTCCCATGCTGGGCAAGCCAAAGCAGAGTGGTGCGAGACTCCATCATGCTACTCAAAACCATGTGCAACTTAAAACTTATGAACTATTATTTCTGGAATTTTCAGAAATCAGTTGCAGCTGTTTGTAGGTAACAAAATTTAGAAAGCAAAACTGTAGATAAGGGGAGAGAGTACTATAATCGTCATTTTACCATGGGGAATTGTAGTCACTGAGAATAACAGCCCAACGACACAAAGTAAATGGCACATCTGGCCCTCAATTCTAGGTCTATTTTATGCCAACACCCAGAGTCTGATTATTTGCATATCAACCATAATATCAAATTAATATTATTTAGAACCTATTCCTTCAAAGGACAATGAAAATGGCAGTCCCCAGGGTTAAAAAAATTTCTTTCAATCACATACATTTTAGCCTACTTTTTAAAAAATGAACAAATTTCACTAGCATGGGTTGTGAATGATTTACTTTGACCACAATCTTCCTCATCAAAATTAAGTAGGAGTGTGGTTTAAAATAATGAATGGTAATAGTCCTTTGTCTGAGGAGCAGCTGGTAAAAATTATTTCCCACATTGTACGTTGTCTCTTAGTTCTGTTGATGGTTTCTTTTGCAGTGCAGAAGCTTTTTAATAAGATGAGATCCCAGTTATTGATTCTTTCTGCTAGTTCCCGTGCTACTGAGGATTTGTTCATAAAGTCTTTTTCTATGCCAATGTCTTCCAGAGTTCTGCCTAACTTATCTTCCAGCAAGTTTATTGTTTCTATTATAATATTTAGACCTTTAATCCACTTGGATTTTAATTTAGTGCATGGTGAAAGATAAGGGTCTAGTTTTAATCTTTGGCAGGTTGGGATCCAGTTTTTCCAACACCATTTATTAAAGAGGCATCTTTCCTCCACGGAGGATGGTCAGCTTCTTTGTCAAAGATGACGTAGCTGAGTACATCTGGAGTTGTTTTTGCGTCTTCCAGTCTGTTCCACTGATCCTCAGGCCTATTTCTTTGCCAGTACCATGCTGTTTTTATTACAGTGGCTTTGTAGTATAGTTTCAAATTGGGAATTGTTATACCCGCTACCATATCTCTGTTGCCTAGGATGGCTTTTCCTATTCTAGGTCTCTATGGTTCCAAATGAATGTTTAGATTCTTTTTTCTAGTTCTGTGAAATATAATGTTGGAATTTCAGTTGGCACTGCATTGAATCTGCATAGCAGTTTTGGTAGTATGGCCGTTTTCACCATGTTGATTCTTCCTACCCAGGAGCAGAGGATATCTTTCCATTTTCTTATATCCTCTTCAATCTCTTTTTTCAGAGTACTGTAGTTTTCAGTGTAGAGGTCTTTTGCTTCTTTTGTTAGATTAATTCCTAGATAACTTCTTTTTTTTGGATGCTATTGTGAAAGGAATTGTTTCCCTAATTTCTCTCTTAGTAAGTCTGTTATTTGTGTACAAGAAGAGTATTAATTTTGGGGTGCTGACCTTATATCCAGCTACTCTGAAAAAAGTGTCAATTAAGTCTAGAAGTCTTTTGGTGGAGTTTTTGGGGTCTTCAATGTAGAGTATTATATCGTCAGCAAATAATGACAGTTTAACTTCTTCCTTTCTATCTTTATTGCTTTACTTTCTTTATCTTGTCTAATTACTATTATCTAGAATATATAAAGAACTCAAAACAACCAGCCCCCCCAAATATAAAGACCCGATTCAAAAATGAGCATCTGAAATGAACAGACATTTCTCAGATAAAGAAGTAAAAGCAGCAAGTAAATATATGAAAAAATGTTCCACATCACTGGTCATTTGAGAGATGCAGATGAAAACAACCCTGAGATTCCACCTCACCCCGCAAAGAATGGCTGCTATCAAGAAATCAAACAATAACAAATGTTGGCGGGGTTGTGGGGAGAAAGGAACCCGTCTCCATTGCTGGTGGGAGTGCAGACTGGTGCAACCACTATGGAAATCAATATGGAGATACCTCAAAAAGCTGGGACTAGAGGTTCCATTTGACCCAGCCATCCCTCTGCTGGGTATCTTTCCAAAAGAATTAAAAGAATCATATCACAGAGATATATGCGCACCTATGTTTATAGCAGCACAGTTTATAATAGCTAAAACTTGGAAACAGCCCATTTGCCCATCCGTTGGAAACTGGATAAAGAAGATGTGGTTTTTCTATAAAATGGAATATTACTCAAACATGAAGAATGAGAAATTAGATTCATTCATAGGAAAATGGATACATATTGAGGAAATACTACTAAGTGAAACATATAAATCACACATGTAAATACCGAATAGTTTCTCTGCTGTGAAAAACTATAATAGTACATAAGATCCTAATGACATAACTGACAATGTGAAATAGGAAGAAAAGGGCTAAAGGTGTAGGGAAAGTGGAAAGGGTAGGGGAATGGTAATAAGAGAAAATGGAAAGAAAGTGTTTGTAAATGGGGAGGGAAGGAGGGGGTGAAGGGAGGGCAGGGAAAAGAAGGAAAAAATGAGAACCAAGACCTGTCATGTAACGGTACAAGATACCAATAATGAATGTAACTGTACTGTATATCTGAAATGTACCAATAAACTCAATGAGGAAAAAAATAATAATAAAATAACGAATGGCTGGAGCCAAACAGCACCTTAGGTATTACCACCCAAAAAGGACCAGTGGCCTTACAAATTGACCATTTCAGGGAACAGAATTCCAGCATAATCTACTTCATACTTCGTACTATCATTTGAATAGTCTGTACTCCAAACTCATGCAGGAGGTTATGTGTTAATGAAATTAAGAGGACAGAAAATTCAACTATGGTGTTCAAAGGTAAAACCTTTGGAGATTGATTAGTAAACGATGTCATTAGAGTGAAGTCCCCATTCTTAAATCTTGGTGTCTTTATAAGAGAAGGAAACACCAGAAGAGATAGAGACTCTGTCTATTGCCTCATAATGCCTCATGGCTTAGCCAGCAAGAAACCCATCACCAGAGGTCAAACCAATGAGGCCCACTGAACCTTACACATTGAACCTCCAGAACTGTAAGCCAAAATAAATCTTCTTTCTTATAAAGTAATCTGCTTCAGGTATTTAATTATAGTAATGAAAAACTGACTAGTATATCTGGCTATGGAATGGATTTTTGTGTCATCTCCAAAACTTGTATGCTGAAGTTCTCTCAATGTGATTAATATATGGGACCTTTAGGAGATAATTAAGTTTAGCTGAGGTCATGAAAGTAGGTAGGATAAGTGCCCAATTAATAAAAGGAAGAGAAACCAGACCTTCCTCTGTACCACATGGAGACACAACAAGAAGATGATCATCTGAAAACTAGGAAGAAGGTCAGAACCAAGAAACAAATATGCTGGCAACTCGATCTTAGACTTTCTAGCTTTAGAACTGTTAGAAACAAGTATTAGCTACTCAGGTTGCCCAGTCTATAGTATTTTGTTACAGCCACCCAAGCTAAGACAATAACTTACAAGTATACATCCTACCCCATCTTATAACAACTCATGGAAACAAAGGTCATTGGCCATTTGCTTTATGAAACATTTTAATAGGATAGGATGTGCTTGTAGATTAAAGTTAGAATTATGAAATGTCTTGTTAGTTATAACTAAAAGTACCAATACTAATGATATCTTTGTTTAGCTGAACATTTGAAATATTTATAATAATTCAGGTAAGACCAACATCAAACCTTTTCTATTAAAATATGTGGCTGGATAATTTTATAAACAAACTGTCCAAAAGCAAATACAATAACCTCTCAGATAAATTAGTACATAAGAAATGGTACATTTGTTGTCAAAGCAAGTTCATTTAGGAAGCAAAGAGAAATCTCTTGTGGAAATATCTATTTTCCTTTCCAACTGTCATTGGCCAAATTTTGCACCACACAAAATGATGGAGAAAAAAGCAAAACCATTGCAGGCATATTTAATTTAGTCAGTTTTTCAAAACATTTTTTACATAAATCTTAAAATTTAAGCAGACCAAAAGGATACAAAGTTCTTAATTTTTAAAACTGTCCTACTACATAAATGTGTCCAGGTTTTCCTGATCACTAGCTATCATTTATTTTTTATTTCAACTAAAAAGCACCAATAGAGCTTCAATGAAGACAAGAAAGGTTATTTATATGGGAAATGTAGTATATAGTCATAGAAGTGATTTTAAATACAATATTGATTTATTTTTCCTAAGAACCCTTTATAAAAGGCCTTATATTTATCAATATTATAAATCAGGAAAGAGATTTTTAAAGTTTAAAAATCTAAGGGCACGCTGTGCTAAGGTCACACTGAATTCTGAGATCCATCTCAGATCTTCTGATTCTGATTACCAATCTCTGAAATCCACTCATTCACCAGAACTTGCAGGAATGGGAGATGAGCAAAAGCAACTGAAGGTCGATTAGGATTTAATCCAGAGTGGAGTTACTGGGGGAAGTGGGACCTGAATTGAACTCACAGGAGGTTTGCCCAGCACTCCCTGCCACCAGGGGGACTGCTAGCTTCAGTTTCATGAATATTCTTGCAAGTTAAGTCCTAAATGTCAGGAAAAACTATAGGAATCCTCATCAACTCTAAAGCTTGCTGCCACGAAAACCCAGATCACTGCCCTCACAGAAAAATTTTTACACAGGTTTCTAGGAAATGAAATATATTCTTTGTGCAACAATCACAAAATCCCTAACTACAGTCACTTCGCTATTTTAGATTTAACATCTATAGAACACTCAGTTCCCTGTGTAGAAATTAGAATATGTCAGTACAATGCCAAAGGCACAGCCATGCATAAAGCAGAAAATCCCAAAGTATTTTTTAATAATGATCTAGAATTGAAAACAATATTAAATATTGTTAAATGAATTTATGGACCACACCCATAACTCACAAAATCAAACCTCACTGAAAGTTTTGTGTACCTTTATGCATAAAACTTGAAAGTTAGGACGTAAAAGCTATAGACAGGGAAAAGATTCAGATTCTAAAATTAACAATGAATTTATCAATAATTGCATACTAGCTCCCAAAAGAATTGATGTGCAATTTAGTCTAATTAAAATACACATACTCATTTGCACACACATTTGTTTGTTTGTTTTTGGTACCAGGGATCTAACTCAGGACCTTGTGATTGAGAGGCAGTTGGAGGAACCACCAAGCTAAATCCCTGGCCCCACACATGCATTTATACATGCATGCATGCATGTACACACACACACACACACACACACACACACGAAGTGTCCAGAACTTGGAAGGTCAGAGTTCCAGCCTATTTATTCCATACTGGAGTACTGTACTCACTGTCAGACTTAAAGACTGAAAGCAAGAAAGCAATAAAAACAAAAATAGAGAACATATATCGGAAAGAGGTCAGTCAAACCCATTACACTGCTTCAAAAAATAATACAGTAACTAACAGAATTGGCTCAACCACCTGTCTTGACAGCCCCAAAAGAAGACATCCAAGCCCTGGAGGAGTTGCACTACATTAATGGTGTTGAGAAATAGTATCAGGATCATCCAGAACACTTCTTGAAAATTTGTATTAATGGGCCCTACCACATAACTGATGTATATTAGAAATTCCAAGGTCTAACTACAATACACATATATTTCTTAAAAACATGCTAGGTGGTTCTAGAACTTTATGATTCATTAAAAATCCAATTAAAACTCATCTAACAGAGGCCAGTGATTTAGCTCAATGGTACCACTGCCTGCCTCATAAGCTCAAGATCCTGAGTTCGATCCCCAGTATCACAAAAAAACAAAACAAAACAAAAAAACCTCATCTGACATACCACATTAAAACTGTAGCACTCATTCCTAAATAGCAAAGTAATATATCAATTAATCTTTTCTATTTTTCCAGCATATGAGAGGCATATCTAAACTAAAATACTACAGAGGAATGAAATAATTTTTCCTGTCCTATACAATTATGGATACAAATCTATCTGCATGCATTATAGATGCTACAAAAGAAAGTAATATATTAGTGCATAGCTCATCCTAAGTAGTTTCAATGAAAGAAACACACTTTTGACACATTTGAAAAGCTTTAAAAAAAAAATCTATGTAAGTTAATTTTCATTACTCTCAATAACAAAAAAAGCCAGGGATTTAGCTCAGTGGTGCTGCTGCCTGCATCGCAAGTGCAAGGTCCCTAGTTTAATAGCCCCGTCCCCCCAAAAAACAGTAAAAAACTTAAATCCCTAAATCCCTGGCCCAATAATTCCTCCAATGTTGATCACTTTCTGACTGAACACCATTCCAGCACTCACTGCATAATGTAGCACTGACAACAGAAGAAAGGCTTGTACTGCAACATGGAGCTTTAGTCTGAGACAGACAAACTGATAGGAAAAACGGTTAACAAATAAACCTAACTCTAAAAATTCAACTTAAGTGCAACACAAATGTTATTATACTTAACAAAAGCAATTTTAAAATACAGAAGAGAAATCTCCATTTCATTTTACAGAAGGTAAAAACAAATCCCTCCCTCATTTGCTTTTAAGGATAACTGAAAGATAAACTTACTGAAGTTGCTAAATGTATTATGTTGCATAAAGAAGCATCCCTTTTAGGGATGCTTTTAGGAAATACATATACTGAAGTATTTAAAAGATAGGGAGATAACTTATATTCTAGTGGTTTAAAAAATGTGTGTCTGTGTCTAGAGAGAGAGATGGGCAGAGATAATGACAAAATAAATGGATAAAATGTTAAACAATCTTGATAGAGGTACAGACAGCTTTTTCAATATTTTGTTTTCAGAATGTGTCTTCATGTGTAAACTTATTTACAAAAGATCAAAAAATAGCAAAATGCTGATCATTCTGGAAGATAGGTTGTGTAGGTAAATAGTTATTGTACTATTCTCTCTACTGTATATCTTTAATATTTTGCATACTAAAACATGAAAAAAATAGACTAGATAAAAACATGTATGCAAAGCACTAGTACACTACATGGAAAACAGAGGTGTTAATAAATACTAGGCCTGGTTATTACAACTGAGTTCTGTCATTACAACTGAGTATCTGTTGAGTGTATGTAAGTATTAGCTTTTAGTATTTAATTACATACAAGTATTTTCTGACAGTCCAGAGCTAAGATGCTCCATCTGACAACTAAGAGAATATCCACACAAGACAGAGACCACATTACCAACTCACGTGGTCACAATATTGAAAGGAAAAACAGCAAAGGCTTAGAAGTCAAGAAAACTAAGCTCAACTATGAACATCAGCTATTTTCTCTGTGATAGTAAATAAAATAATAAAACAACAGGAATATTTATCTTTCATACTTAAAAAGCAGAAATATCTATTTCATATAGATGAGATCACTGTTAGAATGGAGTGAGATGCTCAAAAAGTTCCTTTGTAAACATGGAAATGTTATATAAATGCTAGCTCTCATTTTAGCCTCTGTAGTACCAATGTGGGAAGAATGAAGCATGTGTATAAGTAAATAAATATAATACAGAGTCAAGTTGTAAGTGCCACAGTAAAAGATCACATCTAGCTAGGAGGACAAAGGAAGTCTTTGTGGAGAAGGCCATACTCAAGATGGACCTTAAAGGATGGGTGGGCAGAAAATCCAAAGTCAGCAAGAAGCAAAACTAAGACCCATGAAAAGGCATGAAGTAATACACTCTTCACTAGTCTGGGAAACAGTAGAATAACCAGAAATGCATCTGTAATAGTAAGTGAAAAGAAAGTGGAGAAGGCCATGTCTAACTCAAGAGGCTCCAGGTATGTGCCTCACTACTCATTCAGACCTGAGTTCTAGAGTAAAAATTCTTCTCCCCTTGACCGGTGCCAACAAAGCTGTACTATCCAAGACTGAATTTTTAAAATGAAGCACTCTATTTCAAAGGAAATAATTTTGTAAAAACATACAATACACACACTGCTATGAAAGGAAACACTTTCTATATACAGGAAAAATCCCATCACAGCAAAAATGAATATAATCCAAGAGTTTATAATTTACATTTGGCTTTAAAATATATATTTTAGTCAAGGAGAAACTTACAAATCATATTTTTGAAAGCCAAAATTAAAGTAAGAAAAAAATTTTAACTAACAACTAAAAAGAAAAAAAATCACCAAAAGTGATCACACAACCTAAGTCATATTTTGTTAATTTGATTGACTTTACTGGAATGTGGCTTAATTACACGCCTATGATCTTCTTTACATTTTATTTTGCCCACATACATAGCTACATACTTGAGAATGTCCTTTGGGTGTTTTTATAATCATTTGAATCACATGTTGTTAACTAGTGAATCCATAATCACTCCATCCTGATTTATGCTTTCACAGGAATAAAGCTTTAGGAAAAGAATGACACAAAATGTCTGACTATAGCAGTTATGGCAAACCTTTTAGAGCTTTCAATGACAACAGCCTGCCAGCTCCAGCACATGTGCCAGAGGCTCGACCACCACTGGGCTAAAGCATGCTGAAAACAAAAAATCTATTTTAATGTCCTTAAATGAATATTAAATGTTAAACTAGTTAAAAAATAGAACATAAAAAATCTGAAAGTTATCCATCTCATCCCCAACCTCACTTAATAGACAAAGAAACTGAAAGGAAAATTAAGTCAGCTCCTTATGATATGCTAAGTACATCCTCATAAACAGCCCTGAAATATTAAAATTCAAGTTTTCTGGTACTCAGAAGACAAATGACACCACACAATACTGCAGTTCCCTTCTGATACAATACATAACTGGGGGGAAATAACTGCAAAGAAATCTCTTTACTTTTTTTTAATTGCCAAGTATTACCATTGTTTTGAAGAAAGAAATTAACTTACCTCCCCTCAAGATTCTGCCTACATTAAAGTATTAAAATATTACTAAAATATAAAATATTAGAAAATGTTCAGCTTTTAAGTATTTATACCTCATTAATAATCAAGAGAAAGAAAGAAAGAAAGGAAGGAAGGAAAACAAAAGAAAGAATAATAAAAACAAAACACTAACATAATTAAATCTTCCATGGGACCCAAAAAGCCATCCGCATGCTACCTCTGGAGGTCACAGATGAACTGCACACAGCTTGCCCACTTGATAATGCACTGTATGGCAGTAATTTGAAGAACTAATGCAGGTACGGTATCTAAGCGGGCTGCCACCACCACAGATAAGGATTTACGTGACTACAAATGTATTTAAATTCATAATGTTAAAAGAAATCAAGAAAGGCAAATCTAGGTTCATTAATCTGTTCCTTAAATCAGCTAAACAAGCCTACCATGTTTTAAGGAGAAGTTACCAAGCCTCATTATCTAATACACTGCCACATGATACTGCTTTTTTCTATCACACTGATGCTTCTATGGGAGCACGAAGAGCACACCCCAGCCTTACTCCACTGTGGAAACCAGCTCCATCTGGACCCTGCACTATTGAGTATGGAGAGAATATACTGCTGGCTTATTAAGAGTATAGCACCTGTGCAGACTTCATCACTGCCCAAACGTCACTCTAGTTTCTGTTTCTCTCAGAATAAAGGGAAAGTTCAGCTTACATAACCACCTATGAGCATGCCCTCCCAGGCTGACAAAGGGGAGGAGGACTCTGCACAGTACTTGGGCGTCTTCAGGTCTGACCCCGTGAAGCAGAAATGGGGCTTACATAGTAAGAAGGAAAGAAAGGGCTTTCTCAGCTATCACATTTGCTCCCAATCAGACAAAATTCAAGTTTGCACTACTTCAGAGTTCATTATAAAATTTCCAAATGTGCTGATTTGTCACTGAACAAATAAATACTGAGTATAATAGAAAAACTACCCTAAATTAGCCATATAAAATCCTAACTGATAAAGCCTCTGAAATAGAAAGGTTTCCTCTTATAACATAAGCAATAAAAAACTTCCAAAGGCTTAATTTTATTTATACTATATACCTAGAATGCATGTGCATATTTATATATGAAACATCCTCATTGAAAAATGCTGTTCTGTAGACAACCTTTTCAGTATCTGCATATGTTTAACATAAATCACTGCACAAAAAAGAATGATTAATATTTTAATTACTTTCAGTATATCATATTTAGCCAGCTGCACAGACCCAATATAAGTGTTAAATGACAGCAGCTAAGTGAACAGAATTTCTTATGCCTAATTAGACAAAATGTATATACATCTAAGAAGTGAAAAAAATCTGACAGAACTTACTTGCTACTCCTGATGCCAGACCATAGAGCAGTCCTCCTCCATCCGACTGCTGAGGGAAAACATGGGATCCTGGAGGTGGTGGCTTTTCTTGTCTGATAAAGTTATACAATAAGGTTTTCACAAGTTTGCTGGTGTATGGAAGACTACACAAAAGAAAAAAAAATCAAACTCATTTTATGGGAGTCACCTAATTCTGCACAATACAGAAATAATTCTGCCATCAATACTGACTCAGATCTAGCAGTGTCACATAACAGGCAAGACCATGGGAATTGAGATCCATTTTGAGGCTTATTTCTAGGTTTGCCTCATATCACAGCAGAAGACACTGGTCAAATCTTTGAAACTCTAGACCAGCAGTAAACTTATTTGCAATTTATATAATGTTGTGAGATACTATTAAATTTAGTGCATAATACAGTACCTGGCACTTGAAGATAGTAATGTAGAATCAGAAAGAAAAAAGAATTTAAAAATAATAAGAATATACTTAAGTATGAAATTGTTCAATTTATTCAATTATTCAATTGATGATAAAATATTTCCTCAAATCTAAAGTAAAATTTTAACAGATTCTTGAATGTATTATTGAATTTTTAAAAATACAGCTTTAAGATAAACCACAAAAGTCAGTAAAAGAACATATTACAGTCTAAATATCTGACACCATAGTGATACTATGAAAACCTAATGTCTTAGAAAATAAGAACACTACTCTTTTCTAGGTCTGAAAAAGCAACTTCAACACTTCTGGCATTAGAAGGAACGAAGTTCATAGTCTTGTTTTAACAAAGGCCTTAAAATGCCAACTACTACCTTAAACTAGGGTCACTGAGTATCACTGTCAGAGAAAGGTTTAGATGCAAATCTTCCATCTCCAATGCCAAGGCTCTTTCCCTCTAGGCAGTAATCATCAAATATGTTCTATAATGGTTTAATATGGCTCACCTTCTCTGCAATTTGTGGAGTTTAGTCCTCATTATGAGATATTAGAAGGGTAGAAACAATCTGACTCTAGTGTTTAGAAATAAGGCTTTAGGGAATGATTAGGATTAGATAAGGATATCAGGGTAGAGTCCTCATAATGGAATCCTGGTGGCTTTAAAAGAAAAGAGAGAAACCAGAGGAGGCACACACATGCTCTCTGTCTCTTGCTATGTGATACCCTGTGATGTCTCAAAACTACCAGCAAGAAACTCATTACCAGATGTGGTCCCTCAACCTTGGACCCCAGAACTGTAAGGCAAAATTATGTCTTTTCTTTATAGCTGACCCCATCTGTGCTATTGTGGTATTAGCAACAGAACACTGAGACATGTTCCAGAGAACTCTACAGGATGCTGTGAATGCGTCTCAGGTATAATCAAGGTAGGAAGAAGAATATGAAGAAGACAAAACTCCTTTCCCACATGATAATTTTAATCAATGCTATTTTAAAGTTTTGTGAAGTATATGTCAATAGGTTGTAATATGTGTACATGAAGTAGATCAAAATATGTAGTGAATTTAAAATTTTTTATTGCACTAAACATATTGCCATTAATCCTCCCTCAGAATACTCCCCCTCACTTTAAACACACTTATTCTATCATTTGTACCACTTTCTGCACCAGTTCTGGAAGTCCTCTTTTGTGTCTTTGTGAGGTGTGATTAATACAGTAAATGCTGCTGTTGCATGCCATTCAACAGAAAGCCAGGCTTGTTAAAACATTACAACATGTCCTCGTCTACTTTATTCACTGTATCTGGCATTGTATGACTGTTAGCTCTTCCCCAAAGTCAAAATAACCACACACACAAAAAAAAATCAACGATTTGAATCAATTCAGGACATTGAGACAGCCATGACAATACAACAAAGGACACTCACATAAGAGGACTTCCATCACTGTTTCAGAAAGCGTCAAAAGTAATGGGATACAGGCTGGGGATTTAGTTCAGTGATTCCACTGCTTGCCTTGAAAGCACAAGGTACGGAGTTCAATCCCCAGTACCCAAAAACAAAAAACAGCAACAAGAACAATGGGATATTTCAATGATGAATGTAATCGTACTGTATATCTAAAATGTACCAATAAAAATATTTTTAAAATAAGAATAATGGGATAAGCGTTTTGCAGTGAGGGGGAATATTTTAAGGGGGATTAGTGGCAATGTGCTTTTTACTATAATACATTTTTAAAAATTTAAATATTCACTGTATTTAACTTTTATCTATTCATAATATTTATCTATCTCATATCTAATGTTTATCTACTCTCATCCCCACCTCTAGGAGGCTCCACCTCCTGGCTCAGGACAACGGCCCAAGCCTAACAAAAGACCAGTACACAGTTAGCACACAATAAATATTTGCTGGCTCAGTGAAAGTAGGAAGAATCAGTTGGCACAGTTCAAATACATAATCACAAATCATGGATTACTCTACAATCAGACTTCACATCCTCAGGCACTATATCCACAAACCCAACCAATTGAAAATAAAAAATATCCAGGAAATTAAAAAACCTGCATTTGTACTGAGTAGGTACAGACTTTTTTCCTATCATCTCCCAAACAATGTAGTATTTCAGTTACACATTTACATTGTATTAGCTATTATATGTAATCTGGAGATGATTTAATATATCAAAGAGGATACATGCAGATTATATACATTTTCTATAAAGGACAGAGCTCTGAAGATCTGGATAGCTTTGCAGGGCCCTGAAACCAGTCCCATTTAGATACAAAGAACATCTGTAGTTCAAAAGTACTGGAGAAGGGGTAGAAACAGTTTGAATAGACAAATATGACTTGATCACTACTTAAAGAATAAAGGTGAAGGAAGAAAAATATGATTTCAAAGTTTCAATTCTACAAAGCAGTCTCTAGAAAAAGTAACTGAACCATGGGACAGAAAGGATTAGGAGGATGTATAGTTTTGACAAGAAACAGAATTTAATCCCTCATGTGTTGGGTGTGAAGTAATGACCAGAGGAAGTGTCTGGTTGAGATATGAGACAACACTCTGGTGAGATGACAATAGAAATACAGATTATACAATAAAACATTAACAAATGTAAAATAAAAACATACCATGGACCTCGCATCAAATACTTGTGACTGATGCTCTGTCGCAAAACTTCTTTGTGGAAGAGTTGGCAGGAAAGGAAAACAACCATTGTTGATATAGCCTCCAATGATATTTCATATGTAATATCTCTGAAGAAATGGAGAGAAAACAGAATAAAGACCACTATGAAAGATTTAAGATACTCCTCTTTTCTAAACAAACTGTGTAATAAAAATTCAAATCTACATATTCAATAATTTCGTATTATTTAAAAAACTATTATGTTTAATATAAGAATTATGCAAGCATAAATAGATCTTTTGCCAGTCGTTGGCTCTTACATTGGAATCCAATATCCCATTATTTTCTTTTCTACCTACTTATTGAAGCGCATGTCTCTTAGTGTACATGGAAAGTTACCAGCAATTTTTGCCTTGAAGAGCCACTCTATAGACTTCTATGTTCACCTCTGTTTAATACAGAACAACCACATAGACTGAAGAAAAGTCAATGTAAGGAAGGAAACATTCCCTTTTGGAGTTGATAATCTCTCTATACTCAGAATAATGGTGTGCCTACAATCTTTTGCCTCTAGTGTGTATTTTTTCAGTCAATTTTGCATATTCACCAAATTAGTAACAGTAAACAAGTTATTCCAATCTTATTAAGTATATATATTTTTAGAAACTTAGCCCAGTCCATAATACTGATCCCACAAAGTGGGAGATGCACTGTGAAAAGGAAAAGGTTGTGTTCAGAGCTAGTTCCTAGGAGATGGAAGGGACTCACATTACCACAAATCATCCCATTGTGTCCAGGTGTACAAGGACCTTTTATGGTAAGGAACAGAGAAGAGAGGTAACACAATGAGACAACAGACATTTCCAGGCTTTCTTCATCCTTTCTGGCCATCTGTTGCTCCCTCCCTCTCCTGAGAAAAGCGGGTAATTGTTATATCCTTGGCCTGAAGAAGTTCAAAGGAGCTGACCAGTCTGGACAACTGTGTAACTTGGTAAGACCCGTCTCAAATTAAAAAATAAAGGACTGGGAATGTAACTCAGTGTTAAGGCCCTTCATTCAACCTCCAGTACAGGAAAAAAAGGGTGAGGGGGTGGCAAAATATTTTACAAATCTGAAACACCCATAGATAGTACAAAGAGAAGTACTTACTGCCTAAGTAAATAGAGGATCATTAAGGTAATTAAAGATGACTTGACCTTAGAGCTGAACAAGCTTAAATTGTACCAGCTACTTTAAGGAGTTATCAGGTATAGAAATATGTTTCAAAACAAAGTATACAAAAATGCAATACAAAAGGCCCCTAAACATGTCACCTGGAAGCCAGTTCCTAACAGCTTAAGGAACCAGCAAGTCTCCTTGGTTCTCTGTAACTTCAATGTTAGAATTCTGACATGACACAGGCAGCTGTACAGAGTATAGGCAGTTTACTGTAAAATGAGATAAATTTTCAAGTAATAGAAAACATACACCTTCAAGCCTAAAGGTGAGCAGGCACCAAAATGACAGTTGTGCCAAATTAAGGCTCAGGTTACATTAAAAGAATAATTGGATCTTTAAGGAATATTACTTCCTTCCTCTGAGGTCACTGTTTTATTAGAAGAAAAATGGAGCTGTTCTGACTACTGTCAGAGGCAGAATACTCCTGTTTACTCTGTAGGTGAAATATTTCTACTTAGCCTGATTGGAGACCTTGAGGCTTTTTCCAAACCCCCACCCCTGGTCTGCACTTTGTGCAGGTCCTTATCAGCATGTTCAGAGAAGGCTATGCTTTCTTGTGCTATAGCTTAAAACCATAAGCTTGTTTGGATTTTATCTATAGATAATGATTAAGAAAAATGAAGGAAAAAGAAAAAGACAATCATGTTCTTTTCTTCTTATGCAGCCCCCAGGTGCCTAATGTCTTTCTGCCTAACATGACTATTTTGTCACAAATAAATCTCAGCTCCATTCAGCAATTTGAATTTTACTGTTATAAATATTAACTGAATAAAAAATGATTCTTAGCTGGGTCTAGGGGTTCACACCTATAATCCCAGCACTCAGGAGGCTGAGGCAAGAGAATGGCTGCAAATTTGAGGCCAGCTTGGGCTACCGAGTAAGTCCGAGACCAGCCTGGATTGCTTTGCAAAACTCTGCTCACAAAAGGTAATAAGGGGAAAAAAAAATATGAGAAAATGAAAAAACAGAAATAAAATGTTTGTAAATAGGGAGGAGAAGAGGTGGTGAAGGGAGGGCAGGGACAAGGGGAAAAAATGAGATCCAAAACCTGTTATGTAAAGGTGCAAGATCCCAATAATGAATGTAACTGTACCTAAAATGTACGAATAAACTCAATAAAAATAAAAATCCTAAAAAAAATTAATTAAAAAAAAAAAAAAAACTAGTCGGGCGTGGTGGTGCACTCCTGTAACCCCAGCACTCGGGAGGCTGAGGCAGGAGGATTGCTGTGAGTTCGAGGGCTGCACAGTGAGTTCCAGGTCAGTCTCAACTACATAGTGAAACCCTGTCTCAAAAACAAAACAAAACAAAAAAAAAACCCAAATAACACAATTTATTCAGCAGTTCAAAAATATTAAACTGCAGTACTTTACAAATTAATATCTTACTCATATCATAGATCTAGAAACACATTTTTTTTTAAACTAAAAGCTATGACTATTAAGTACTAGGCCTAACAAGTTTGGAAAGTGTGTATTTAGAACACAATGGTTGTTCTCCTCACAATTAATTGGACTAAATAAAATCACAGCTTCACAATCAGAGCAAACAAAGAAACAAAAAACCAAACAAGAAAAGTGTAAACTCTTGGATTATCCTCTCTGAACATGGAATTCTGAAAATGTAAAAGTGAAGAGTATTGAGTTGGATGTTGGGAGGCAGAGAAAGCTGACAGCACACAACAATGCTGAATCATCATGACATTAGGTTTCTCACCAAGCTAAAACTATTCCCCAAGACTTCTAAATGGAACTAAGAAAGCCTCCCTGTGTGCTTCTAAAAGGCCCAGGGATACAAATCTATCAAATGTTTATCACACTGTACTTCAGCTTATGTATCATTTCAATGAATATTTATAAAGAATGAACACTTACTATGCCTAAACAGGCATTATGTCACCTATTTGAAAGAAAACCACCAACAAATAGATAAAACTCCAACTTTTGTGGAGTTTCTAACTTCACAGAGAAGAGAGAAATCAAAGAATTACTCCAAAAAGAGATAAAAGGAAAAAAGAGCAGGGACAAGAAAGGATTACAGGGGTCTTTAAATTTGAGATAAAAAAAAACCTAAAGTGTGAGGGTTAATTACTTGTAAGAGAAGTCTACTCCTTCATTTGTTATTGTCACTGTTGTTTATATAGTACTCCCAAATCTAGTAAGTATTCAATGGACAAATAAGGGATAAAGGACTTGGTGCAGGGGTGCACTGAGGATTGAACCCAGGGCTTTCACACTGTACCTACATCCCTGGCCCTTTTTAATTTGTATTAATTTGTATTAAGACAGGAACTCACTAGGGTGAGCTGGACTCAAAATGTGCAATCCTCCTGCCTCAGCCTCCCAAGGATTAGGATCATAACAGCTCTGATTTTGATTGGAGTTGTATTGCATATCTTCCTAAGTAGGCTCATCAGCGTAGTGCACAAAGTAGATACAACAATACCAATGAAGAATAATGTCAATGTCACATAATACATATTGCTAAGTACAGAAGAAAATTTCACTGCAACAAAAATGTAAAGGGAATTTGATGAAAGAAGAATCCAAGGTGTTCCCAAGTGAGAGACAATGTTCTCTTAATTTTGCTGAGCAAAATTACCAACATTTACCAACTCCCTTTTCTCTGGCAAAAGAAGCCTCTCTTCTTTTCAAGAACTCCCCTCAAGCTCCCCACACCATTCATGAGGTGCAGATGGGATTTGATCTCATCTCACGTTACAAGACCTAAGCAAGGTCTGACCAATAAAAATGGTCCTTATCACAGTCTTTCCCAGGATTTCTAGAACTACCAGGAGTCTCCTTCTGAGACTGGTCATGCTAAGAGACACTTATGCCAGAGCTGCTGGTGGCTCTCTTTGCGAAGGCAGAAGCAGCTATGGCTTGAGAAACAAGCCAGTCAAGAGGATAACAGAGCAGTGGCAACAGATTAAAGGGAAAAGAAAAAAGAAAAGAGAAGAGGAAGATAGAGTTTCTAGTGAAGAGATAATAAAAGAATCAGGCACACAGAAGGAAGAGTGAAATTCGGCAAAGGTCCACTAAAGAAGACAACCTGTAAGTTAACAGCAGCCAATACTGCCAGAGGCAGAGGAAAAATGCCTCACAAAAAGAAAATAATGTGAGATAATGAAAAGATGAAAATAAAGTGTTTGTAGATGGGGAGGGGAGGAGGGGGTGAAGGGAGGGCAAGAATAAGGGAAAAAATGAGAATCAAGACTTGTCATGTAGAGGTACAAGATCCCAACAATGAATGTAACTGTACTGTATCCCTAAAATGTACCAATAAACTCAATTAAAGCTGAAAAAAAAATGCCTCACAAAGATGACGTGAGCAAAGAAGACCAGGAAGGAGGAAAGCTCATTAAAATGAAGAAATCACACATTGACATGCAACCACAAAAAAGATCCAGCAGTTTTGAAAAGTGCGAGGAATACGATCCTCATCAAATAGACTGCAAGGTAGCTGGGAAGTTGTAGGGGCAAAGGGATCAGGACTAGAAATTGGGAAATGAATTCAAAGGACAAGATGTACACATTAGTGGGGAAAAAGAAGTCTAAAAAGAATCAACAAACTATTAGGACTAATAAAAAAGTTCAACCAGCTTGCCAGATTTAAAAAAAATCACTTTTGAGTTTTTAAAAAATGTTTAATACTAATTTTATTAGTACTTAATATATGGTTACAGTACATAATGATTATATTTACCATGGGGAGTTGGTACATATACACAACATCTTATTCATTTTGTATTTCCTTTCATGTGCCTACCTCCATCTCTTTGTCCCTTTCCCATTTACAAAAGATCTCCCTGATACTTAGTATTATTTTGCTCTTCAAATTATTTATAATTTGGGTTTCTCATATAAGAGAAATGATATGATTTTAAGTTTGTGTACATGATTTATTTCAC